CTTTCAACGTCGAGGAATTGTGTACACAGCACTGCACATGCATGTTATTCAGCAAGGAGAATGGCATTACACTAATTATGCATCTGATTAGTTGGGATAGATATTTCCAAGGTGGTTCTTGTACTATTGTCTATTTTTGATTCAAATACAAGTGTCCTCTCAAAGTATATTTATTTAGGAAATCAGGTATACTAAAAGCTGCAGTGGCTGTGTTGTCTCAGATCTCCTGAGACTATGTAAAGCCCCAACCAAACGATCACAACATTTCAACGTAAAATATTGCAACGTTGTTGGACGTAGCATGTTACATGCGTTTTGCTCTGTTGTGACATGTTGGGTGTTGTTGGCTAGCTCAAGTTTGAATTTGAAATGGTCAAATTTGAGCCAACAACATCCAACATGTTGCAACACGTACTTCACAACAGGGTGGCCAAATGCACATAACATGTTACACCCAGAAATACTGTGTAGAAACATTGCGATCATTACCTTAAAAATGAAAACAACAACAACAACAACAACAATTAAAAGCTGAGTGAGAATGAAAAACAGGCAATATCTTTTTTTCATTAGACACTGCATTGTGTTGTGTCACAAAGGCATTTTCACTTAAGCTTACCAAAAAATCTTGAAAAACTTGAATAAAATACATTATGCAGCAATAATAAACACGTAATGTCTTTAGCATGAGGTACATTTCTTAAAGACTCTTTGTTGACTGTATGAGTGTCCCATTCATTTTTTAAATTTTGAATGCTTTTAAATAAAATATATCTTATATGTTTTAGGTGTAATACTTGATCCTCATGTAAATGTGAAGAATCCAATGGTAAGAAAACCAGTGCACATGATGAAACCAAGAGTTGTGACTCTTCAAAAGCCTCTGCATAACTCCCTGGAGAAAAGACAGCATGATTTGCCAAGAAGTGGGACCAACAAAAGTCCATCAAAGAGTGGCTCTGGCTCTTGTTTATCTCATGATGGAGAACTCTTTGGTAAGGTTACACATTTGAAACTCCTGCATTCTGGTCATGTCATACAGGGAAATGGGAAAAACAACTTCTTATTTTCTACTATTATCTAATGTATACATGTACCACTAATTGTGGAGTGTTTTCTTTATGGCATAAAAAGGGAAGAGACATTCTACTTAATAGATATTAATTTTGTACAATGATATCATGCCCGTTTTTTAATTATTAACAGCAATTATTATTTTATATGAGTGTTGAGAATGAGTTTGTTCTTGATAAAGTAATACCTGCAATCATATAGAATGGGGGCTAATTTATTACATGCTACTTGTACTGTACTTTTAGGTGGAAGGCGCCAGGGAGATGATAAAACCAGAAAAGAGTTGACATTGAAGGAGCTGAATCCTCAAGACAAGAAACGTGTGGCTAACTTGGTTAAAGAACTAGCTAAGGTAGGAGAGGAGCGAGAACATGCGGAGGAGAGGCTTAAAGCAGAGAGACTGGCATTTGAAGAACGGCTGGTTATCCTTCAAGAGGAGTATGATGCTGTTATCAAAGAGAAGATTTGTATCCAACTTACTTTAATCATCATTTGTTTGATTATGAGCATTTGCTTAAAATAGGATTCTTCATGTTCTGTTGTACAATAATCATTTAGAATGCCCTTAACATGTCCTTAAGATTTGCAAAAGAGGTTTCTAGAATTGCAGTCTCTGCTGGTGAAGTATCAGACAAATGGAAAAACACCATCACCGACAAAGACAGTGAAAAGTTCATTGGCTGGAGACAGGCTAGCACAGGTGTGTAAAAAAATTCATTTCAGGCAATGGCAAACAAATCAGTAATGTTGTATCAACAAGCTATGTATTGGGGCTTACTATGTGTACCAAACTTCTGATTCTGCTTGTGCAGTAGACTGACCAATATTTTTCATGGCTGTATTGATAAAGCATTTTGATATTTATGCGAGGCATGTAACTTTTGTTTGTTTGTTTTTTGTCTTATTTTCAAGGACACAAGCATATTGCTTGTATCGTCAGTTTCTCCTCCAAAGCCTATACACATTTCTCCCTCCAAATCTGCACTAACAGAGATTCCAGGAAATACAAGATCTGGCTTGGATGTTCCTTTAAGTGAGAAGCTTGATGCATCAGGATTGCAAGCAAATGCCTCACAGCCAGTGACAAATAAAACATTCCCTTTAATCAACAGGACCACCACAGAGTATAAAGATGTAAAATCAAAACCTGCACAACTACACAGCAGTAGCTTAACTTTAAGTGATACAGGAGAATCTTTTCCGAGAATTCTGGGACCATCTCAAGATGGTAAGCCTGTGGTGAGGACTAGCAGTGGAACCCTCCCTACCGCTATGCCCAGTAAAGTGATATCACCTCATTGTCAACTTGTGGAAATTC